ATGTCCGTCAAAATCTTGTAGTGAATGGTATAATAATTTGGAAACATGTTGGACTTCGTCTGGAAATCTGGATATTAAATTGGTGGTAGGGATATCGAAGTTTCGTTTACAGATGAAAAAGCCGTCAAGTTTAATCGAGTTTCGCTGTTTAACCATCAAGTAAACCTATACTTGTCTCTCCATAAAAAATAATAATTGAGAGCTGTTGATAGAATGGCGCTTTTTACGTCAATAACACAAAAACGTGTATCATAAGAGCCACTGACAAATGCGTCAATTAATCTATCGGGACGCAAATCTATGGCAAGGTGGCGAGACGGATAGCGGTCGGGATTTGAATAGGACCCTTGTCACCTCCGAACTAGTATAAATCGTATACCCGGACCGCTGAAATTACTATTCAGCTATACTCGAAGACCTGACCTTTTAAAATTTTGCGTATCGGTGTGCTATAACCGGGTAAATAGTTCAATTCACGATGCGACAAATCAACGACAGTGTTATATTTATTTACTTGCATAATAAAGACATCTAGTTATATTCGATTTTTCACGGTAACATAGATTAGTTAGAGTACAGGTCGCCGCAGATGCCAGTTTAAGAACGAACGCGTCATAATATTTAAAAAATATATATATATATATATATTTATCCGTAGACCGTAGCATTAGCAAGTGATTATATGGAACATATTTAACGATTTACAACGCGTTTTGCATCATACCTAAAACAAATTAAATTATATCAGTTGTGTTGTTAAAGGTGCTATACAAAATGTATTTTGTTTAAAAACTCTGGATTCCAAAAATCAGTTTACCCGCAAACGCGAAGACACTGTTAGTCAATTCTGCAAGGACCCGGCCAGATTCGCCAAATACCACCTTTGACGAAACAAATGGCGCTTTGACGTCAGAGACACCCTCCATCTTAAGTCTCCATGTGTCCCCGCATGTCGCATGTCGCACGTCGGGCCTTAGTTAAAATATTTTTTTAAATAAGTTTAACTAATATACATCGCGTTTTAAACCGTTAGTATTTTATTTAAATATTTTTCTCGTAAACATGAAACGTAATATATATTGCAACCCATCACTATATTTACAGTAACCAAAGTATTCGGCCACTAGGTACATAACTTATGACCATTACCGCGAAAACATATTTTTCAAAAGTTCCTTAATTCTTAAAGACAAAGTAACAGAAGTTTGGCGAACTCGCGGCCGTAAATTACACTTTCATGAATTTATCAAGGCTTTTACCGTAGCTTGAGTGGTTTGGGCATTAATTTTTTCCACCATATCTTCTAAATCATATTCTTCCTTGCGATAAAAATAGAAATGCGACAGAAAATGGGCTCGAATAAGACTTATTTTACGTTAAGATGTAACTTTTAAAACATATGCCTTATCGTCGTCTTTGATAAGTTAAAAAAAAAAAAAAACCCCTTTTTTTAAAACACAAAAAATTTTTTTATTTTTTTTTTTTGGACCATCGTTGTGATAAGTAATATTTTTTGTTGTCATTGGGACTTCAAATTTTACATTCTTAATTAAAATGCCTTTGAGTGACAAAAAAAGTTAACACGCGCGATGCTTTTAACAAATAGTTCGTCACACTTTCTTCTCCTGTTCAACAGAAACTATTGACTTCACTGGTAACAAATCGAATTCCGCTATATCTAACCAACAAATCACTGAGGTGGTTAAGAATACTTCTCAATTTGAATAAAACACGGTTTAAAACGACATAATATAAGCTAACTACAAAAATTAGGAAACTAGAAAGTAGTAGAATTAAATTAGTTAACTTATAATTTACTGTAACCATTGCCCCTTGACAATCTACAACGCCAAATCGTAGATAAAAATTGCAAATAAGCTGAGCAATATATTTTACGTTTTCAACTGTAAAAGAGTTTTATTTCAATATGTACTATTCACGTTAATGACAAACAAAAGTAAACTAAGTAATATTATAAGAAAGTATTACTGTAAACTCTAGCTAGCTTATTCGGGCCTTTTAGGTTAATAACTCTTAAGATAACACGGCGGAGTAATCAAAGCCTGTGTACCGAAGCCATCAAACAAACAGTGTGGAGTATTGCCAGTCACGTCTGAGGCGGAAATAAATCGTCGACCCGGGAATACACAGTTAACTCCGGGAAATACGTTGACGAACACTTAATCGTTTGAACGGGCTTCGTTAAGATGAACGGGACAGACGTCTTGTGTGTCTTGACAGTCGTCTTCTGTCCATACTGACATAAGCCAACAGCAAGCCAAGCCATCTTAACAGCTGTTAAACGGTGACGAAGTTCGAAAAAGGAATAATGTACTTGTTATGAATATATCATTATGGTTTATACGCTTCGAGGATTTTGTTAGCGTTGTATTTTTTTAATTTTTTTATTGTTTCCAAACATATACATTCAAAAGCTTATTCGTGGTTGTTAGCCCTTATCTCTATGAAATTATTGAAACTATAGCATAACAATTGTATATTAAGCAGTACAGATTATAAAATGATAGGTAAATACTGTGATTGTAATCACAGTTCTTTTAAATGTCTCACTTAGTCTTAGTCATTTTCATTGTATTAGTATGTTATAAGCTGTAAAGATGGAAAGTAAATTAAAATTAAATAAATAAATAAATAAAAAGTTATAACTGTTTTAATTGTTAAAATAAACAAGAAAAACAGTTTATATGAATAACAAAGAAACGAGTCACAATATTATTAGAAAATATTAGAATATTTTAATTTGTATTTTATATTTTTACTAGTAAGTGCTTGTTTAAATGGATTTGGTAATAAAATAATTAGGACAGACAACCTGATGGAAAAGGACAGACAAGCCCGATGCTTGTTTTATTGTGAAATACCCCAGACAAATAACATCTAAATAAGATGCGCTGTTGACCTTTGGAAATGCACATACTGCAACCGAAACGTGATTCAACTGCACTGGTCTTTCAAATCTTGGCGATTTGCGACCCGAACAGAATATCGATATTCCTAATGCTGCCTTGTCCTTTTAATACCCATAATAAGTCTAACATATTTATAAATTGCCTAGCAACCAGCATTCGCGGCTGTTGTTAAAGATTGAACTCTCGTCTCGTTGATTATTAGCCAGACATAGCTACCATAAGCCAACGACTCCATCAAACTCTACAGGGTTAAAACTATTTACTTGCCAAATATCGTACAGTGAAAGTTCCACAAAAATCGGGCAGCGAGAAACGCAAGCTTTTAAAAGTTTAATATAACTCATCGAGTCGAAGCCTTTGAAAGTTATCTGAGCCCCTAGTGTTTCCTTTGACGCCTAACTTTATTGCTTTTAGCTATAAGCTTTTCACGCCGATTTTCCTACCGCCTTTCAAGGCTTAGCTTCAGCGCCGATACGGGCAAGATGTTGTCGAGAGAATTTCAACCTTAGTTTTTTAAATGAGCTTTGTAATACGACGTAATTGGTTATTGTAGCTATCTGATTCTATCCTTAAAAATGAAAGTGAAAAAAAAATTTTGTAATTTCCACTTGTAATAAACAAACAGATTTCTCGTCTATTTTATTTTATGTCAAGAACGTAGTGTACGTTTTTATTGCAACTTGCCTAAAATAATTAAGTAAATAAACCACTTTAAGCCGTGGTCGCAGGGAGAGGTCTCCCCGTGACCATGGCTGTCAAAAGATCCGAAACGTCGAGCCGTAGTTAAAAAAAAATTCAAACAAGTTTAACCAAAATATATCGCGATTTAAACCGTTAAAGTGTTTTATTTAAATGTGTATACTCGCGTAAACTAAAGACAGTATATAATTTAGTTTATCCGAATTCAAAATTAGAATATAACCTAAATACACTTTTCGGACCCCATACCCCAACAGTGGAAATATTAATTGCTTAATAGTCTTCGTTTTCCCGCGATTAGAACTATGGAGAGCTGTTAAATTACGTTGAGGGCAGAGGTGTTAGGCGATAATTTTACTGCAAACTTAGACACAAATATGTGCCCCAAGTCCTTCGTGGGACCCACATCGATTTTTATTATTTTTAATACATCCTCGAAGGTCACAAAACATTCGTTCGCCCAGTTCGTGTGGGCTAAATTCTATTAGTGTGGACCAAATTGAATTGACCTTTTTGGATTGATTGAATCCTTTGAGGCTTCTAACACATTATTTACAGATCTTTAACGTGCTTGATACGTTAACTTGATGAAATTAAGGAAGGTTATATAAAGCCAAAAAGCATTATTATACATTTGAAAATTAAAACCTATTCCGAAGTTTTATTTACTATACTTTATAATATTATAACCTTCCTGACCGCCTATATATCTCAATGGTTAAACGTCTTGTGTAGCATTGCTAATAAGCACAAGAGGACCTGGCTCCGAATCTTGGGAAAACAAAATGTTTAGGCCGGTGAAACGTACAGAAAATATGGCACTTGTTAATCAAATCGATGAGTAAAAACCATGTCTATAACTATTAAACTAAAATTTATTTATTTTTCTCAAATTATATATGCATTTGTTAAATAAATCATTCCAAATGAAGGTGTTCGGCCCATGGACACAAAGCTCTCAAGGGGGAAAAACATATTTTACTATTATACATTTCCACTATATTGACAATGTCTAGGGTAAATCCATAACTTATTCCTAAAAAAACATTATATATGTGACTAACAATATTTTTACAATTTAAAACGTGATACGCATTCGTCAAGTAAGTATTCATCCGCGTGATTTACCTATATTAAAAACAAAAACAATTTAAGTTTTAACAAAAAAAAAATCAGAAATAAAATATTTTTTTATTAATTCAAAAATATATAAAAACCGATAGCAATAAAATATAATTAGCTGTTGTTAACTCACCTGCATTACAATACTTCTTTCTACAAACACACACATGATACCTGGCGTATAAAGACACGGCGCGACTAAACGGCGTAAGGGACGCTTCAGGGCTCGAGACGCACCCTTCCTCCACCTTATTCAACAGTCTGTCCAGCTTTCTGAATCGTCGAGTAGCGTATGTCCCATACCTGGGCCATTTTGCTTTGACGCGGCAACCTCGTTCGTTGTAGATCGTGCCGACGTCTAGATAGCGCTTGTAACAGCCCCCCCCTGAAGAACGGCGCATAGACATACCTTCCGCTCCAATAATAATCCCTCCAATGGTGCACACACTTTACTCTGAACTTCTTCTTTTTATGTCTGAATCTAGAATAGATATATAAAAATCGTTATTTATCTTAAAAATGTCGAAATATATGTTGTGGTAGATAAGTGCGTATTATATTATAAATTAATAGATTTGGCAATTAATATTTAGCATTGGCTTACATTATGTAATGTTCAACAGTCCCGGGTTTGAAGCCTGGAGTTTCATCATCAAAGCTTTGGGATAAGCAATGCACCGAATTCTGACCAACTCCTTACGTTCATACAAAATCAATCAATAAAACGGACACAATAATGAGCCCAACCCACGACCAATGTAAGGAAAACTGGGCTTCAAACACTTAAAATTATGGTTTACAATTGCAATAAATATGTAAAAACTTTTAAAAGAGATTAAACGTGGAATGAAGGCACCTTGATTTCTCTTACAAATACGATAAAGACGCGATACGAAGAAAAAATATTTAGTTGTTCTAAAGCTACATTTTTTAGGTCATTGAAACCAAAACGATATAAAACCATATATGGATTTCGATGGTTAGATATTTCAAATTTCAATAAATAAATAAAAATGTTGAGCCAATAGTGTATTCTTCTTTCTTATCAGTTCCTTTCTTACTAAATATAAACTAAAACATAATAACCTACGATCAGGGGAGTCGAAAACTTGATAGCATTCCTGGTTTATCGGTATCCCCCTTTTAAATAAACCACACATATAGCAAGCGTACATTTTTGCTCGTAAAGATGCCTTCGATTCGTTGCGTGTTGGTAATGCTGTTATTGTATTTGTAGTTGTTACCGCTGTTTTTACATCTGTTTCTATCGTATTATCTTCTAGACTTGTATCATCATCTTCTGTTCGTCTCATTGAGTTTCTGTATAATTTGACGTACCAGGGGGACACTGTTGTCTTTAAAACTCTTCTACTTGGATTTCGGTTGCTACCTATTTGAAACCTTTGTTTAATTAGATGATCACTCGAAGCGGTTTAAAGTGGGAAATATTCTAGTTATTTTTTTTATTTATTTTACTGACGGCCCGGTAAATGAGAGGACACCGCCAATATCACCAAATATCGTTACCACGAAACAGTGGCGCTAGTATAGAATATTTGATTTTGACATTAGGGATACCCTTCACACTACGACCCCCATGACAACAGCTGCTGCAAAGCAACAAACGCCGGGACATTCTTAAGTGATTTGCAAATAAGTTATCTGATACATTTTGCGTTTAAAACCGTTAAAGTGTTTTATTTCAATATTTAATACGCGCGTAAACTACGGCGATACTTCATTATATTAGATTACATAAAACGATACCCATGTTTTCTTCATTTCTTCTGTTTTGTTTCTCAAGAAAAATAATATATGTATTTAGGTTTCTACACTTTACTTAACTTAAAACAGAATTTGATGTATATAAAATTATCACTATTTTTAAGGTAAAATTAATGTGTTGTTTATTAACAGTCTTAATGAACAAGTAAAACTTGCCAGTTAAAACAGAAGTCCCCTTTTTCGTCGGAAACAGTGTAGCAAATGTTTTCCTTCGTTTCCAAGTTATGTCTGTAAAGGATTTAGTTGGCCTCCACTCTGGTATAGAAAGTGTCCAAGTATATGAATCATTCATATAATTTTTCCTCTTTATCTTCTCTGTGTTTGAATAGAAACCAATGTCTTTAGTGCTTAAGACTAAAATTGCATCGGAAATTGACACTAAACTATGTTGTACAGAACTTGAATCTCTCTTTGAGTTCATTTGAGAGTTTGTCCATTTCATTAGTTCTGTCGTGTTCAGTTCTGAAACGGATGTACTGAAAATGGTGGATTTTACATAGTGCGGCTCCGGCAATATTTCGTCATCAGATGATGTGGAAAAGTCGTACAAATCTTCCGTTATCGTATCGGTATCGTCATGTGGTAAATATTCGTAGCGATTTTTTACTCGCGATAAAAGAGACCCATCCGTGCATTTAGTAAATAATAAAAGTATTACAAAACACATTAGTACATTATCTTCTTAGCTAAAAAGTCTGTTTGACACTATGACATTAAGTTGTTACTCGGATAGACTATCCAGACGGGACATGACCACAGATTATTTAGATAATATGTCAAAAATTAGTAAAAAATACGATAAGGACTTCTTTTTCAGGTAGAAGTACTATATTAACTTAACGATTTCTTTAATAAAATGAATCTTTACAAAAGCATATTTGAGGTATTGATGAAAAATATTTAATTTTCTTTCCTTACATAAGTATTGTCGTGTTTATAGATTTTTCGGAACATCTTTTGCTTAACCCCGTGTGAGGCATAGACTGAGCGATGGAAGTAACTTTTCAAATATGCTTAAAATGTTCAACATCTTTTTGGTAACCTTCTTCGAGATAGATCAAACATGCTTTACTGGTCAAGCAGCGGCCGACAGCAGTTGTATGATAATGATTCTATCGTGTTTAGCGACTAAGTAAATTCCTATGTGAAAATCATGTATCGTGTCATTTAAAAATGGAACGACGTATTCCGCAACATGGCGATCAAACAAAAAAAATACTATGTATTTTTGTTTATTGTTAATATGTATGTCAATGTCAAATATAAAGATCAGTTATGAGTTGTTTGAGTCACGTATGTGTGTTGTTAGCTTCTAAGCATATTATGCATTAGGAGTTTAATAATATAATTACAGGCGCGCCCTCACGTCCCAAGGGTTAATTCAGTAATAATGTACACTGAATGTGAAACCATTAAGCCTTTACATACATACTATATAAGCTATAACGTTATTACACGTATTAATAAAAACTCTGCGAAATTCTGCGGTTTATATATATAAATCTAATGAAATACGTCTAAAAAAACAATTTCAAAATTCATGTAAATAATTATATTATGTTTTAAAGAATTGTAAAAAAGTCAATGCGGCCGGACACGGCGGACTTGAACACAAACCCACAATCAAAGCGTTCGGTACTGTTGCTCTTGCGTTGCGCAACGAATATATTAAAATAAATAGCCTAATTTAAAAATCGAAAATAAATTTAAAAAAATTTTTTTGACTCGGGCAGGACTTGAACCGGCATCGTCAGCATGTTCTTTGCTCTACCAATTGAGCTACCGAGTCCTACACCTCATCGTCGAATTTTTTCAACTTATTGATACATGCACCTCTCGCGCAATGTAATTTCAACCTTAACATTTGCGTAATAAGGTTCAACGTCTTATGCTTTGCATCTTAAGAAATCATTGAAGGTAAAATTACAAACACACATTTCGATGTTTAAATTATATAATGCCTTCATGTGCAGTAACATGTAAAAAATAATAAAGTTTTCAAACATAAATAACCTCATCTAACTCTAATCTTTGCCGTTACAATGTACCAAGCAAACTATCTTTACACATATCTGAAGTTAAAAAAGCTAGACAGACAGTGCATCTTGTTTAGATGTTATATGGCCTCCTCTATCATAAAAATGAGATTTGCTGTGTACCGTAGTTCTCAAATATTTATTTTTTATAATATTAATAGGATATCATTGATTTCGGTAGAAACATTTCAACGAAATGTCACAAGAAAAGCCGCCCGGAGATCAAAGACTCGAATCGAATATCTCAAGGATTTGAATGAGCAATGATCAAATTAGATTCATTCACGATTCGTTAAACGCGTTAAATTATTTAAAAGCTAAACCTTCGTTAACGCTAAGTTCTTTTCGGTTACGTGCTCCGGATGTTCCAAACTGTTATTTGTGGAAAGCCCTTTCCTTGTTTTTATTTTTGTTTTACAACTAAGGCACAAAGCGGGGTTTTAATGGAATTAATATTGGGGGAAACTATCAATTAAGGTTTTTTAAATATTGAGGCAATTAAGATTTAATTTATTAATATCCTTAGAATACTCCTGTTAGCCATGCACGTGTAAGTTGCTGACATCAACATTTTTACACAATCGGGAAACAAATCCCTGTTCTTTAAAAATACATCTTCCTTGCATTTACTTTTTCATTATTACTATTTTAATTTATAGATAAAACCTCCGTATCCAATAAATCAATATGTGACTATTTAAATAAAAAAACTCTTTACGACTTAGAAGCGAAGTATGACTTATTATAATATATTTAACTATGGCACGACAGCGACGATTCAGCTCATATACATCAAAACGGATTTACCAAATAGGGTAAAATGTATAAATGATAACACGATACAGAACGTTTATTTTCTAACAAGTTCTAGTGGACATTTTTTCACATTTATATAATCTGAGATAGCTCCCAGGATCGTTAAAGATTTATTCCCAAAGCTTTCAACCAAGGCCTTAACAAGAGACAATATAAAATAGTCTTCGCGGTTTATCTGAAGAAGATAACGAGCCTCCGGGCCATAAGTGTCTACAAGAAGTTTCATATCGCAACGTGAAATAAAACGTTGAATAGTTTTATAACGACACACAGATTTCGTGATCGCGTAATAATTAATCGTTATTATGAATGAAATAAAAATAACTTTAATATTTTTCACATGTTTTGCATATGATGAATTTGCTTGTTAGAGCAATAGCACGGACCGCTTTGGTTGTTGATTTTTTTTCTATTTTATGACGCATTTCAATAAAACATTTTTTTTATAAAATCTGCTACGCTAGTGCCATTTGTTAAAACAGCGTAGCATATAGACTTTGACATTAGGGATGCCCTCTATAGTGCCATCTATCTTGAGTAACCCGTCTATCTAAAATATCGCCTCGGTTAAAAAACTACTATCATACATTTTGTGTTTTAAACTGTTAAAAGTTCTTTAATTTATTGTAAATTACTCCTTTAAGGATTATAATTAATTATTTATATTTCTTAAAATCCTTTCTTGGATATTATATCGTAAAAGGTTGAGCTAAATCTTGGTTTTATAACTTTAAATGATTTTATATCTCACACTCAAAGTACACGGATGGAATTTGAACTCATTCAATTCTTATTATTTAAACACGTTCAAAGTTTTATTTTTCAATCTCTTACTAATACGCTTGAAAGATTAGAGTTTTCTATACTTCTGTGTGTCCCGCAAAACGTTTCGACTCGAAGAAGTAGCGGAAAACATTTTTACTCAGACTCATTTGTTTTTCTTTTGCCAAGTTTCGCATAAAATAAGTGTGGGAACTCTCGGTCTACTTTGAGCATTTTATGCTTCAACGGAATAAGGCTTTAAAGGCACGATACCCTAGATTAGTATTAAGATAATTTAGTGGGATAGAGCATAAACATATAAATACGTCTAAAAACTTCTTGCTTTTCCTGCTTAAAACCCTCAGTCATATTTAAGTGTCCGATTTTATTCCGGGACAAATTAAGTAATACTTATTACGTGAAGCCCAATTAACGGGTATAAACCATATATTTATATAGCTCGACGTCACCGTTTGCATTTTAAACCGTAAGTTACTTCTTATAACTAACTTGATGAAAGTCATTGTTTGTATTAAAATGTTATTACAACATCGTGCATCGTGCGTAGCCAGCCTTATCTACGATGTGACATATGGGCTCGCTGTGCGTCTAAAGAATTTTTATGCGACTCTGTTATGAAAACGTTTATCTCGACTTGTTTTGAATATCTTTTACTGCCTCGTATAACCAGTAAGGGTAAATAGTTTTAATTCACCCTATCTTCATGTTGCCTATAATAAGCACAAAGGTAGACTCTGAGTGTTTGATTTTTTTTGTTAGGGGAGGACAGACAATGGCGAAAAAATGGCGTTCACATGATGGAATGTGAAATACCAACAAAGATGAAGAAGAAGAAATAAACAGGATGCGCTATCGCTGGATATACGGAATTGGGTTTGGCTGATGGGACAAAC